GGGACTCCAGGATCATGACCTGAGCCGAAGGCAGTCGCTTAACCGACTGAGCCACCCAGGTGCCCTGTTTTTATTTTTTAAAAATATTTATTTTATAGAGAGCCAGCAGGGAGGCGGGGGCGGGGCGCGAGGGAGCAAAGCCGACTCCCTGCTGTGCACAGAGCCCGACGTGGGGCGCAGTCCCCGGACCCTGAGATCATGACCTGAGCTGAAACCAAGAGTCGGACGCTTCACCGACTGAGCCACCCAGGCGCCCCCATTTTATTTGTAAAGATGTGTCCTCAAGGGTGTGGGATGAGGCTCCCTTGGGTTATTCCACCTAGATTGTACATTTGGATAAGAAAGCCACTTCAGCAACTAATGGGCGTTTGCCTTCTGTGCCGAGAGGCGGCCGCCCTGTGTAGGGTTCTGTTCAGAAGCCGGTTACCGTGGCGGTCAGCCTTGAACCCAGGAACTCACTGCAGACGCTGCTCAGGTCCACCCGCCTGGTGGCTGCCGGTGGCCGGAGGCACAGGCTCTGGCCCTGCGCGGCGGCCGGGCTCTCGAGGAGGGTGCGCTCCGCCGAACCTCCACGGGCGTGTCTGTGTCGTCGGTGGCTAACTCGCGTGTTCTTGCCCCCGCAGAGTCTGTAGAACAGCAACACCAAGGCTTCCCCATGAACAACCGGAAGGAAGACATGGAAATCACGTCCCACTACCGTCACCTGCTCCGCGAGCTCAACGAGCAGAGGCAGCACGGCGTCCTGTGTGACGTCTGTGTCGTGGTCGAGGGCAAGGTCTTCAAGGCGCACAAGAACGTCCTGCTCGGCAGCAGCCGCTACTTTAAGACGCTTTACTGCCAGGTGCAGAAGGCGTCCGACCAGGCCACGGTCACACACCTGGACATCGTCACGGCCCAGGGCTTCAAGGCCATCATTGACTTCATGTACTCTGCCCACCTGGCCCTCACGAGCAGGAATGTCATCGAGGTGATGTCCGCGGCCAGCTTCCTGCAGATGACGGACATCGTGCAGGCCTGTCACGACTTCATCAAGGCAGCGCTGGACATCAGCATCAAGCCAGATGCCTCGGACGAGCTTTCGGAGTTTGAGATTAGCGCCCCTCCCGGCAGCAGCACGGATGCGCTGATCTCGGCTGTGATGGCCGGAAGGAGCATCTCCCCGTGGTTGGCTCGGCGCATGAGTCCTGCCAATTCTTCCGGAGACTCGGCCATCACCAGCTGCCACGAGGGAGGAAGCAGCTACGGGAAGGAGGACCAGGAGCCCAAGGCCGACGGTCCCGAGGACATTTCCTCGCAGTCGCTGTGGCCTGGGGATGTGGGCTACGGGTCTCTGCGGGTCAAGGAAGAGCAGATCTCGCCGTCTCATTACGGAGGGAGTGAGCTGCCTTCCGCCAGGGATGGTGTGATACAGAACTCTTTCTCAGAGCAGGCTGGAGGCGATGGCTGGCAGCCCACAGGTCGAAGGAAGAATCGGAAGAACAAAGAGACAGTCCGGCATATCACACAGCAGGTGGAGGACGATAGCCGGGCCGGCTCCCCGGTGGCCTCCTTCCTTCCGACGTCTGGGTGGCCATTCAGCAGCCGAGACTCAAGTAAGCCTTTTGTTTTTTACGGGCAGGGGCTGAGACCCCGTTGGGCCACCGCGGCCCCAAAGCGCTGCACGTCGGCCCTGTGGCCATTAGTTATGTAGGTGAAGCAGGCATTCTAGGCCCATGCCGGTGCCTTCCCGTGGGCCGTCTTTGGTCGCGGTAGGTTGGTGCAAGTCCAGGGAGTAGGACGTTGGGGACCCCATCAGTACAGTGTCCACGTCACCGGCACACAGGGGCTGCCTGGGGTAGGGCTTCTTTAAAGGTGAGGGGTCAGCAGCTGGAAAAGTGGGGTCAACTTGAAGGGTCTGCTTTCCTTTTCGTAGGGGAGCCATTCGTAAACACCAATTTTAAATGATTGAAACGTTAAAGTGTTAAAAGGTGGAAACGTGCATCAGATGAGGTGACGTGAAGGTGGGACGTCGCAGACGCTCACCGTCCCGCGGCCTCAGTCCTGGGTTTTCTCTCCAGGAGACGTGGGTTTCGGTCATTGTTGTGACATTGAGCAAACTGTCACATGCCTGTGTTTTGTCCCTGGCCAAGAGCTTATCTTGACCTGGGGGGACCCGAAGGCCTCTGGCGGTAAAGCGCCCCTCGCAATGAGGGATGTCCCCTCGTTTTCAGCCAATACAGCTCCGTTGGTTCAAGCTAGCAGACGTGTCATTTTCTTGCATTTGCTGAGTGTTGCTGCACAGCAAGGGCCCCCCGCCCGACCACGCGTCTGGCCCCACGTTAGGGTCAGCGCCGCTCCGTGCTTAGCTTTGCTGAATCTGGTCCTCGCAGTCTGGATGACAGTTCTGTGTCTGTCTCCCAGACGAGTGGATAACAAAGTAGACATTTACCGAAACACCGGGCGCCCTTCCTGGTGCTGAGCCTGTAATGCTTATAGCTGGGCTAGCCCTTCTCCGAGGCAGACGGGGGACCCGCTCCCTCCAGCCCCAGGTGCAGTGGGGTGGGGAGGGATGAGGAAAGGCATTTGATGGATCAGAGTTGGTCCAGAGCAGGATGGAGGCATCTTACAAGTTCTTGTCCTGGGGAGGGCCGTCCAGGAAGGTCAGCAATCATCCGGAACATGGGAATGGACTGAGGTGAACGCAGCAAACTGGGGTAATAGTCCTGAAAAATGTCATGGATGCTAAGCATCCTGTGCTCAGGTTGGGGGGCGCCTGCCCACTCCCCCGGCCCAGAGGCTTCCTGGGCCGGGCGACTGGGGCCCCTGCATGAGCCTGGGCTCCTCCTCTCTGCTGTCAATACACTAGCTTTTATTATCGTGGTAAGATGTATATGCCATAACCCTCGCTCTTTTAACCCTTTCTAAGTATGTAATTTATTGGCATTAAATACATTCACATTGTTATGCAACCATCATTACTGTTTATCCTCAAAAGGTTTCCATCACCCCAAACTGAATCTCTTATCCATTAAGCAGTGCCTCCCTGAGATGCACTGTAGCCTGTATTATTCCTTGTCATTCTCTGTCCCCGTGTGTTCCCAGCCCCGAGCGCATGGCCAGACCCCTGTATGTTCAGTACAAGTTGGCTGAACCATGATTTTTCAACCTTGGGCTGGATGACTCTGCCATGGGGACTGTCCTGGGCGCTCTAGGACGGAGGCGGCATCCCTGACCTCCATCCACTAGATGCCAATAGCAACCCATCCCCAAGTTTGCTGACAACCAAAAGTGTGTCCAGGCATTATAAATGTCTCTGATGGGCAGCACCCCACAGCTTTTGGAGTTTAACCGAGCTGAGAAGAAGGTGAAGTTTCCAAGCTGGTAGAAAAGCCACCTGCCTGTCTCCCTGTTAGCTGTTGGTAGGGAGAGGTACACTCCGTGTGCTCCAAACTTTATAATCTGTCACCAGCTCTGACTAAACTCTGAGAAGCAACAGTCCCTGGCGAATGACTTAAGGACAGATGCTCTGTGTGGAACCTTCTGGGGTGGTCAGTGCCGCAGTCCTGTCCTGGGACACCTGCTTGAGTGCCGTGAGCCGCCCAGCGGGCTGCGATGCTGGAGGTCTTACGGTTCAAGGACCCATCTGCACAGTGAAGAATGTTTGCTCCTCAGGCCTGTGGGTTTGAGGTTTTAAATGCAGTTGTCAAGCAGAAGATGTTTTTAGAATCCAACAAGTGATTCGGCTGTGTACTTTTGTTAATGTCTTAAATCCCTTGGGTTACCAAGGCAACTGTGAACCGCTTCTGTTAGATTATTCTGAGTTGCAAAGACAAGGACATGAGGTTGTAGGCTCGCCTAGGATGGTTTCTGCCGGCTTTGGTGGCCATTATTTCTCCACTCTCGCCCTGGGGCTGGGTGTGGAAGTGTGAATTGCGATCCCAGTGGAGGTCAGTTTGTTTTCATTAAATATCTATTACCTCTCTTCGAGAAGAGTATTTTCAAATTCTCGTCCTATTTGTAGGAGAAAGGACCCTATTCCAAGGGAATGTGTCAGGTGGTTATTGCAGATCATTTGGGGGCTCAGTACAGATGCTCGGATATCCAAGGCTGCATGCCCTGTCCCTTCTGTGTGTCCCCACCTTGACTTGTGATTTGGAGCCTGTTAGCATTTAAGAATGATTTTTCCAAGCAAAAGGCCAAGAGTTTCCACGAGAACGTCCGTTGAAATTTACTTCTGAGTTATAGCAGTTCGCTTGTGTGACAGCTCGAGGGCGCAGGTAGGCTGCAGTAAAGTCGTGGCCAGACCCCCGTTCCTTCTCCTCATCCTCCTTGGGGCCCTGGCTTCCCCCTTTGTGTGCGACCCCGAGATGGCCCCAGGCCCCCGATGAGGTGGATCTGTAGCTGCTAGTTCAGAAGCCCGTATGGGAAGAGCCCAGGTGTTTGTCCTAATGTCCCATACATGTTCCTAAAAGGTTTTGTGAAAAAGAGAGTTCTGTAGCTAGAATAAAATGTGTGGGTTTTGTAAAGTAAATGTTTATACCTATATTTTTGTAAAGTTGGGTCTTTAGTTGTAAAGTTGGACGTACTGGGATTTTTAAGAACGTGTTGGAACCACAGGACGGCTTCAGGTGAAGGTGGTCTCTGTAGGCTCCCAGCCGGCTCCTCGTGCCCTTGTGGCCTCTTGCCTGTGCGGGGAAGGGGGAGGGGCAGGTGCGCCATCTTGCAGGCTAGGGGAGTCCACGCTGCCCCTGCTGAGGTCAGAGGGTCCTTGCTGGGGCTGAGTAGGGAGGAGACGTCCCAGGCTGGACTGTCTTAGTCTGCCCTCAGGCACCGTCCTAAACCACAGGAGGGCACGGATGGATTCGTTTGAGAAGCGGTGAAGCTTGTGAGTTTGAGTTAAGCTACACGTCGGTCCATGATCTGAGTGGAGACGTAAGGGACGAGCAGAGTGCCCAGCACCCAGGGCGTGATCCTCTGGGCACTCTGCTGGAAGCCAGCTTTCCACTGCCAACACTTGCGCGGACTTGATCGCTTCTCTCTCTCTCTTTGAAGATTTTATTTATTTATTTGACAGAGAGAAAGAGACAGCGAGAGAGGGAACACAAGCAGGGGGAGCGGGAGAGGGAGAAGCAGGCTTCCTGTGGAGCAGGGAGCCCGATGCTGGGCTTGATCCCAGGACCCTGGGACCATGACCTGAGCCGAAGGCAGACGCTCAACGACTGATCGCTTCTCTTAAAGTTGTCTTGCCTAGTCTGGTATTTGTGTTTGGAGGTAAAAGAGCCTGAATGAAAAGTGACACCACGGTATTGTGGGGCTGGGACTGGACCTGCCTCCCGCATCCACACTGTTGGACCCTGTTCCTGACACTTGAGCTCCATCCCTTGTCAGCCCCTCTGCTCTTCTCCTTTCCTCAAAAGTTTGAGCTCAGTTGTAGACCCCAGATGTTTTTCCTTCAGGTCTGAGCAGAATTCTATGGAATCCGTTCTGGTTGACCTTGTTGCTGTCAGTCAGATGGCAGCTAAGGACCCGACAGAGACAGCAATCCTGTTTGTTGGAATATTGGCTGAGCGCGCGGAACACAGGGGCCGTAATGGGCGCCCCTGCCGCCGGGATGAGAGGTAGCGAGGTGTCCTTTGTCTGATCTGGGAGGGTGGGAAACGCTGGTGACTCGGAACAGCAGAGCAGTAACAGAAGCCAGATGCCTGCGTGGGAAGGGGCCCCGCGGGTGGAGGCATGCTGCAGGGGCATGCCCTGTGACTCGTGGCTCATCCACGCCCGATGCCGTACTTCTGAATCATCGTCCTGGTTGCGGATCCTGGGACCTCGGCTTTGCTGAGCTCCTGCAGCTTCTTTTCCTACCCCAATGAAAGCGCTTCTTTTGCGTCCGGACTTTCTAGAACATGGAGTTCATGAAGGGTGAGTCTTTGAAGGGCTCTCACGACATTCAGCTCAGCCGCCTGTTCTTCCAGGTGCAGAGACTGAGGCTGGGTGCTGCTGAATGGCTTGTCCCCAGGGGTGCCCAGCAGGGCTGGGAGGACGCCCCACCCAGAGGGAGCTCTGCAGAAGAGCTGGAGTGTGTTCTGGGCTGGTGCTTGACAAGGCAGGCCACGTCGTGAGGCTGTGTCAGGCTGGAGCAGGAGGTGGAGGTGCTTCTGGAAGCCCCTTGAGCTGAGCAGCCCTCCGGGCTCTGGCGACGGTGAGCTCAGGATCCCCAGAGTTCAGCTCAGGGGAATGTGCATGAGTTGGTATGATTGACATTTTGCTAAGCAGCACTGGGATGTGTCTTTGCAGAGAGTGTGACCACGTCCTTGTGCTCAAGGATCGTGCAGAAAGGAGCCCTCTCCAGCTCCCGAGGACAGGGGGCTGCCCCCCAACAGCCTCGCTGAGTTAACGTGCGTGTTCCGAAGCGAGCCTTCACTGCTTCGTGGTTGGTCCACACGTGGGCAACCATCTCTGTGGATCCTGTTTTGATTTGAACTTGAGGGCTTGGTTTTCTTTAACCAAGTGCTTACTTTCTTTTGGTGTTTGTAGACCATGACAGTGATGCCCGGAGGGTCTTCTGACTTGGGGCTGCCTATGTCTGGTGCCCCGGGGCGAGGCAGGATTTGCCTCCCGGTGAGGAGGAGGGACTTGGCTATGTTGAAAGCCTCAGGGTGAGACTATGTATATGCATATATAATATATATATATGTGAAAGCACAGCTTGTAAAATTCCATTTAAATGGAGATTTTAAGAGGAGTAGTGTTATTTTAAAGTGTTCATTTGAAAATTTTTATGCCACCGCTTTTTTCGAACTTCGAAAAAGGTGCAAACCCCTCACTGTTCAGCTGGCTAATGAGCAGCCCCTGAAGGCCCGCACGTCAGTCCTGGGGGCCGCCTCCCCCAGAGGGTTGCCGCCTGCCGTGGGTTTCTCTCAGGTACGCTGGGGTGGGATGAAGCCACGGCTGCACCTTGCGTGTGGGTTCCAGTGTGTGCATGCACACTGTGGACTCCTCGTCCTGATGTGGACGGCTCTGGGCTGTTGCCGGTTTTGGTCGTGAAGATCAGTGCTGCCTTTGGGTCTTGTTCTGGTATGTTCTGGAGGTGTTTCTAGGGGGTGCATCCGTTCCCTCAGCTGCTGTGGGAAGTTACCACGAACCTAGCAGCTTAAAGTAGCACAACCGTATTATTTTACAGATGTTAGGAGTCTGAATTTGGGTGGCAGTTCCTTCTGGAGCCTCCAGAAGAGAACGTTCCTTGGCTTTCTCCAGCTTCTAGAAGCACAGCCTTCCTTGGCTCCTGGCCCCACATCGCTCCGCCCTCCTGCCTCCCTCTTCCGCTTAGAAGGACCCTTGTGTTGACAGTACCCACCCGGATAATCTTCCCACCTCAGGGTCCCTGACTCCATCACACCCGCAAAATCCCTTTCTGAGCTGAAATCAAGAGTCAGATGCTCGGGAT